GGTGCCTGGGTTTCCCTTCCACAAGGCACTTGGGGCTAGCCCTGAGCCACCTCTGGGAAGCTCATGTGAGGGGCAGGGGCTCGAGGCAGGCCTTTGTTCACGAGGTCTGGAATTTTCTTTCTATTCCTTTTATTTTTATTTTATTATGATTTTTTTGAGATGGAGTCTCGCTCTGTAGCCCAGGCTGGAGTGCAGTGGCGCGATCTTGGCTCACGGCCACCTCCGCCTCCCGGGTCCCGGTTCAAGCAATTCTCCTACCTCAGCCTCCCAGGTAGCTGGGATTACAGGCGCGAGCCACCATGCCCAACTAATTTTTCAGTAGAGATGGGGTTTCACCATGCTGGCCAGTCTGGTCTTGAACTCCTGACCTCGCGATCCGCCCGCCTCGGCCTCCCAAACTGCTGGGATTACAGGTGTGAGCCACCGCGCATGGCCTCTTTTTTTTTTGAGACAGTCTCACTCTGTCCCCCAGGCTGGAGTGCAGTGGCAGGATCACAGCTCACCGCAACCTCTGCCTCTCAGGTTCAAGCATCCTCCTGCCTCAGCCTCCCGAGTAGCTGGGACTACAGGCACGCATCACCACACACAGCTATTTTTTGTATTTTTAGTAGAGATGGGGTTTCATCATGTTGGCCATGCGGGTCTCAAACTCCCTGCTTCAAGTGATCCCCTCACCTCCCCCTCCCAAGGGAGGGGATTACAGGCGTGAGCCACCTCGCTGGGCCTGGAATTTTCTTGACCATACATCTTACGCAGTAGCTTCGGGGGCTGCCCCTCTGTTGGCCCAAGGGTCCCCCGAGCAGGTAACCCCCACCAGGGGCTGCTTGGGAGAGACCTTGACAATGTCATCACCCTGCTGCCTAGTGAGGTGTCTGGCCTTCTTGACCTCAGTCACCCCTAGCTGCCCTTCTTTGAGAGCAGGGGGCCCTGGCTGTGGCTGTATCCCCGCACCCTGAGAGGACAGCCCCAAGGGCCTGTGAAGGTGCCGGCCCCGGGGCGGTCACACATTTCCAAGGTTTTGGCAGGAGGGTCTCCTGAGACAGGCTGGGCAGCTTCAGTCGCTGAGTCCTCTGAGCTCCTTTCTCTGCATGATGTCCAGGGATTTCTGGCACTGGAACTGTGTTTTAGGGGCTGCTCTGCGTGTAGCTTCCAGGAATGTGGCCCAGCAGCAGCCAGAGGGACCCCAGGCTGCCGGGCCGGCTCAGTTGATCAGACTCCGCGGCTGCCACAAGGGACCCACCCGTTCTCCAGGTCTGTCTCTCTGGGTCACCCATCCTGCACGTGTTCTGGGGGGTCTGTTGACAGAAACTCAGCGTCCCGCCGTTCTCAGGTGCCCAGTCTTGCCCTCGGCTGCGACTGTGGGTGTGTTGGGGCCTGACTCTGCTATGTCAAGGGCTGAGCTGGGCGGGGGCTCTTGGGAAGTGGGGCTTGTGGTCCCCAGTTATTGAATGCATCCCACGCCAGTTCTCTGGGCCCCGCACAGCACTCCAGCTTTCCCGCCAGGCGTCTGGGGAGGCTGCACCCCCCGCCCCGGCAGCTGCCTTGGTGCTGTCTGGGCAGAGCTGTGAATGGCTCTGCATTCCCTGGCTCTGCAGTGGCGAGGAAGGAGACCTGTGGTCACAGCAGCGCCTACCCACCCCGGGATGAGCACTCAGGAGCCTGAGCTCACCCTCTCCTTCTTCATGTGGACCGGCTAGACTCGAAACACCCACCTACCGCAGAGTTTCTGAATGGACCCCTCATGTTGCCCACCCATCCACGGCAGGGCACAGTTGGTTCCCACAGCCTCCCCAAGCATGTCACCACTGGGGACTGCAGGTGATCATCTGATCACGGGGCCTCAAGGTCTGAGCATGCCACCTCACTGTCCCCGAGCTCCCGTGAGCGCACAGGGCCCAGCCACACGTGCGACAGGCTGCCAGCGCCTCCTCTGGAAGGGTCATTGTGACTTACACCAGAGATGATGAGAAGGAAACTGGGTCATTTGTAAAACTGATAGGTTCAGCCAGGTGAGGTGGCTCACGCCTGTAATCCCAGCACTTTGGGAGGCCGGGGCAGGTGGATCACTGAGGTCAGGAGTTCGAGACCAGCCTGGCCAACATGGAGAAACCCCATCTCTACTAAAAGTACAAAAATTAGCCGGGCGTGGTGGTGGGCGCCTATAATCTCACCTACTTGGGAGGTTGAGGCTGGAGAATCACTTGACCCGGGGAGGCAGAGGTTGCAGTGGATGGTGCCACCGTACTCCAGCCTGGGCGACAAGAGAGAGACTCTGTCTCAAAGAAAAAAACATAAAACAAAAAAACACAAAACAAAACAAAACAAAACTGATAGGTTCAGGTCCAGTAAGACTCAGGGCGTGGCCAGCTAGTGCCGCAGGGGCTGTCTGCTGGGGAACCCCGCGGTGATGAGACGGCTTGCCACACCGCAGCTCCAGCCCAGCCTGCCTCCCCTTTGTGATGTGCACGCCCGGCTCGCACCTGTGGACCCGACTTCCCCATGGCTGTGGACGAGGGAAAGCAGCTCGTCCCACCTCTGCCCTCGGGAACAGTACTGTGACCCCGAGTGGCTAAAACATGACAAACGTTCAAAGAACTTAAGAAATGAAATTGAGGCTGGGCACAGTGGCTCACACCTGTAATCTCAGCACTTTGGGAAGCCAAGGCGGGAGGACTGCTTGAGTTCAGGAGTTCGAGACCAGCATGGACAACAATATAGTGAGATCCCATCTCTAAAAAAATAAAATAAAAAAGGTAGCCAGGTGTGGCGGTGTGAACCTGTACTCTCAGCATTTTGGGAGTCAAGGTGGGAGGAGGGTTTGAGCCCAGAAGGTTGAGGCTGTAGTGATTTATGATCATACCACTGCAGTCCAGCCAGGGAGACAAACGGACAGACCCTGTCTCTGAAAAAAAATAATAAAGTAAAATAAAATAAAAAACAGCTGGGCGTGGTGGCTCACGCCAGTAATCCCAGCACTTTGGGAGGCCGAGGTGGGTGGATCACCTGAGGTCAGGGGTTCGAGGCCAGCCTGGCCAACATGGAGAAATCCCATCTCTACATGGTGAAAGTAGCCGGGCGTGGTTGTGGCACGTGCCTGGAGTCCCAGCTACTTGGGAGGCTGAGGCAGGAGAATTGCTTGAACCTGGAGGGCGGAGGTTGCAGTGAGCTGAGATTGCGCCATTTCACCCCAGCCTGAGTGAGAGAGCGAGACTCCATTTCAAAATAAATAAATAGGCTGGGCAGAGGGGCTCGCACCTGTAATCCTGGCACTTTGGGAGTCCCAGGCAGGTGGATCACTTGAGCTCTGTCTGCCTGGGTCTCCCAAAGTGCTAGTATTATAGGAGTTCAAGACCAGCCTGGGCACCATGGTGAAATGCTGTCTCTCCAAAAAAAAAAAAAAAAAAAAGAAACTGTTTCCCAGCACTGCACCCTCCCAAAGCTGGCCTCTCCCTAGCTGAGGAGTGGCAGTGGTCAGGGAGACCCACGTGGACTCAGACCCAAGGCTGGACCAGAGTAAGTGGCCCGGAGGCGGCGCTGGAAGGAGGTGGGGAGTCTTCTGCAGGGCTGCGTGTCGGGCCCTCTGGGATTCCTCAACACTTTTGGGTGGATGGGAGGACGTCTGTGGGAACCTCAGAGTTGGCACCAAGGAGGAGCTTTCTGAGTGGGCAGAGGGTGGTGCCTGCCAGGCCCAAGCCTTCCTGTGGGTGGTCCCCACAGCCCCTGCAGTGTCCTGTTCTGGGGGTGGCAGTTCTGCTGGCGGGGGGCATGGTGGTCTGCTTGCCCCAGTCTTCTACACTGCCATTGCCAATGGGAGCTTGGACTAGGCATGCCAGCCTCCCAGCACCAGAGCCCACGCTCCATGTTACTGGACGGTCCTCGTGACTCCTGGGACAGTCCTGGGGAGCAGCGCAGGATGCCTCACGTGGCACAAGACACTTCTGTGTCCAGAATGGCCTGTATTTGTCGTCAGGGGCAGGGGAGGGAAGCTTCTTGGTGGAGGGGACGGGCTGAAGGATGAACAGCTGGGCCGGGCCACTTCCTCTGCCAGGAAGTAGGGACCCGGGAGGGTGTAGCCTCCTCCAGGAAGCCCTCTGTTGGGCCGGCTCCATGCCTCTGTCTTGGAAAGCGATGCATTTGGTTGCCTCATGCCGACTGGGGTCTGCCACAGATCCTGGTTTTTCCCAGGAGTTCTGCAGGCCCAGAGCCTGGGGGTGGCTCCCGGTTCATTGGGGAGGGGCCTGGGTGCTGCCCCCTCCTCCTGGCTGGGCTTCACGGGGCTAAGCTCTCATCTGGGGTTGCGGAAGTGAGCCAGGGTGGGGACAAAGTCCTGGCTGGTGGGTCTGGGCCAGTTCCAGGTACCCTGGCTCCAGGGCCCAGATCCTCCCACTCCAGGAGGAGGGAGCTCCCTCTTCAAAGCCATCTGGCTCTGGGAAGGGCCATCTGCTTCCAGGCTCCCTGGGGTCTCTTCCTGGCCTAAGATGGAGCCTGCAGCCTGGCCCAGAAGGTCCTCCCTCCTGCTGGGTCCACAGGGGCCGGCCTAGGGCCCCGGCTTGCTGCTGTGTGGAGGCCGGAGAGCAGAGGGGCCCTGAAACAGTGGCAGAAAGCCCTGGCGCTCAGGGACTGGATTCCGCTCTGGGCTGCAGCCCCCAGCCGCAGTCACGGGGAGGGGTGGGCAGTCGTTTCTCTGTAGGCCCAGGTGATGTGGAGGGGCGCCTGGGCTGCCACACAGACCGTGGGCTGGGTCGGGAACGGTGCCCGCCTTGCCCCCAGCTCAGGACTGCAAGAGCTTTGGCCCTGGACGCTCAGGGCGGCGGGAGGGGCAGGCCAGTCCTATGGTCTCAGGATACGGGGCTGGGGAAGGGTTTCCTGGTGAAAGGCTGTCCCGCGGCAGTGACCCCTTCTCCCGGGGCCCCGCATCCTTCCGCGCCGCCCTCCCGGTCCTGGCCCACCCGGGTCAAACAAGGCCCTGACCGCGGAGCCGCCCTGCCGCGCAGCGCTCACGGGTCCTTTAGTCAATGTGGGAAAACGGAGACCTGCTGGGCGTGATCAAGGCGGGCGATGCCCAGGGCGAAGCCGCACGTGTGTGCCTGCGCGGCTGCCCCTTTTGCAGTGACCACCACGAGTGTCCCACGAACGGGCTCGCTGCCTGTAGTATCAGCAACAACGACAGAGGCGGCCGCGCTGTGCACGCGAGGACCCACCTGGACCCATGCCCTTCCCGCGGGGGACGCGGGCGGCATCGCCAGCCCGGCGCGGCCCCGGGACGCGAACCCGGGCTCCGGCGGCTCCGCCTGCGGTGTCCGCCTGTAGGGGGCGCCCTCGCGCCTGCCTCCACCGGCTCGTCTCCGCTCCGCGGACGCGCGCGCGCTGCCTCACGCGACGGACGCCCGGGCTGCCGTCAGTCCCGGCTCGCGTGCGTGCGCGTGCGTGCTGGTGCGGGCGTCGTGCGTGCGCGCGCCCGGCGGCCCAGAAAGCGGCGCCCGGAGCCTGAGGCGGCGGTGGTTAGGCGGCTCCCGGCGGCTCCCCGCGGCGGTGACGGCGCCCCGCGCCCCGCGCCCCGCGCCCCGCGCCCCGCTCCCCGCGCCCCGCGCCCCGCGCCCCGCGCCCCGCGCTCCTCCGCCCGGGCCCGCCAGCCGAGGCCGCTCCCCGGCGCCGGAAGATGCCGGCCGTGTCCAAGGGGGATGGGATGCGGGGCCTGGCGGTCTTCATCTCGGATATCCGCAACTGTGAGTGGCGGGGGCGGTCTGCGAGCGGGGCTCGGGGCGGGGGTGCGGGCGGCGCTCGGGGTCTGGGGGTACCGGGTCTCGGGGTGCGGGCCAGGGTGCGGGGCGGGGCCCTGGGACTGGGGGTGCGGGGTGGGGTCCAGGGTCTCGGGGTGCGGGCGGCGCTCGGAGTCTTGGGGT